ACTTAATTGAATTGTTTTTGATTTGGGAGAGTTTGTATTAGTCCTTCGGATTGTTTTGTAGTTCCTGATCTTAAAAAGGTAAGACCATTGCAGATTTTCAGAATTATGCAACAACATATGTCAACAGAAAACCACATACAGTATAGAACAATGTTTTTTTAGGTCACCAACAGTTCCCTATCACAAGCACATAGGCAAAAAACTCTCTTTTTCTCTGCCTCTCTCTCCCCTTTTTTCTGGGTAATTATCCGACAGGTCACACTGAGTAATGGTCTGGGATCAGTCCAGGGAATTACGCTAGCAGAGGATTGACCTTGGCTATGCCTTCACCTCAGGGTGCCTGTATCGTAGGTGTGTCGCTGAAACACAACAACAAAATATGAGATGAAGGAAGTGTGTTTGAGTGTTTTTGTGTGTGCATGTGCAAATCGCCCACAGCCCTCTGTTGTCGTCCCCTCCCTACTTTCAGAAGGGCAATTTAAATACAAGACAAATGGTTTCACTTGCGCTTTCTTCCATAATTACACCTCTACACTACACCACATCTCAATTAGGGAAACAAATGTTTGACAAGATAATCTGTTTATTTAGGCCATATAAGGACAAATTCCAGTTCAGCATACATAATCTGGTAGGTTGAAATCAGGACATCACTTTCGTTATTTACCATCACAACAGGGAGAGGGGACTCAATGCCACATGAAAAGGCACTGTAATTACATTTAGATGGATTTATTTCGCAACTTTAAATATCCCAATAAAATAACTCAAAGGAATCGTTAGATGAGGTCACTGATGTGACCCTAATGATAACCTACCAATCTCTTCCCAGTGATAGCTTTACTATTTATAGTCGAGCTATTGTAGATCTACTTACAGCAAGCATTTGTTGAAACGATGTAAAAAAAAAAGTGCCCATTGTTGTGTGAATCCATTCAGTTAATTATTAAATCAATAACAAAAAAATTGCCAATTATTTTGAGGAACCATTGATCGTTTTAATATGTTTTTAAATCGAAAAAATGTCAATCATTCACTGGTTGCAGCTTGATTGTTTGAATAAAACAACAATTTTGAATATGTCACCTTGACCTGTTTGAAATTATGACAACATTTTCATTGTTTACTGACAATTAAAAAAGAAAAGATAATAATTATGAGATTTATCAATAATGAAGGTTGTTGCAGCCCTGTACTAATCATTGTCCTAAAGTGACTAGGTTTCATATGAAGACCATAACAAAGTCTGTAGGTTAAACAAAGTTCCTCAAATGTCAAAGCAGCTCTGAAACGTGATAAAAAATGTTTCATTTTGGACCACAGGTGGCCTACACTCAGATGTTAGATAGAGTTCTCTGTGCTGTGTTTGATGGATTGATGCGCAGCAGACCCTGCTGTCGAGATATGCGTCCCCGTCTGTCTGAACGCAGCGGAGCAGACCAGACCCTAATCACAGGGACTCTGGTGTCTGTGGCCTGCAGTTAACCTGATGGCGAGGTTCTCTTTCTCATTCTCCTTTGGAACATCTACCATCACTCATCACAATGATTCGATGTCATGACACCGATTCTGGATCCTGCACTTGAAGCACTTATATTGTATAATATTATACTCTTTAGTCTTCACATTATACCAAGTGGTAATATTTGTATACACATGTCTCTGCAAATACATATAGACAACTATTACAAATAATACATACATCTAAATCAGGGCTCTCCAACCTTTTTTAGGATGAGAGCTACTTTCAAAAAATAAAACAAGTCGTGAGCTACTTTTACTCCTCTTTTTTGTTTTTTTTGTTTTTGTTTTTGAAGGCAGTGTATATATTTAGCACATTTTAACATTACTATATGCTTACCTTTAACCCTTGTGTGCTGTTTGAGTCTGTGGGACCCGTTTTCAGTGTTTACTAAAAGAAAATGTATGCAATTAATTGTTTTTTCAACCTGAGACTCATTGGCTTTGGCTCATTTTCAAGAACATATTCTAAATCCTTGGTATCTCAACCAAAATACTTTGGCCAATATTGTCAAAACAATTGTCCTATAACATACTATTTACAATATAGTACCTACCAGGTTAGTGGACCATCCATTAGATTAAAGGGTTTGATAAACTGTAGGACTGTGATGTAAGATTATGTTCATTGCCGATTAGTCTGGCAAATCATTTAATCAATTAATAGATTTTTCTTTTGGGGTGCCCACCCTTTTTTTGTTGTTGAAACTTTACGGTAATAAAATAGCTAAAAATGCCATCCACACTTTCTAAGAGTCCAAAGTTACGTCTTGAAATATATGTTTTGTCAACAGTACACTGTTTTACGGTACAAAACCCAATACATTTAGTTCCCAAAAGAAGAAAGTAGCCAACAAATAATCACGGGGACCAGGATCGAGCACATACATGTCTTTGTGGATATTTTTGTGGTTGAGCTTCCCTTACTTTGTAAAGACACAAATAATTACATATTTGATCTTCAGTGATCTTCCAACAACTGCAGTACACTCTACATTATGTGTGTTTTGTGTCCTAAACACCTTTCATGCTGACCTTTTGCATTAAACAAAGTGTGTCTCACTCTCTGATGCTTTGATCAAAGCACACAGGGATATTTGCTGGGAAGCTGACTGGATCACATGACCCCCTGAGAGAGGAAGTGCACTGCAGTGAGGTCACGCAGCGGGGGAAACAATCACACTGACAGAACACGGAAGGAAGCAGAGGATACTCGGTGTGCTTTTGCGTGTGTGTTTGTGAGCCAAATGATGTGTGATGTCATTTCCTCGAGGACAAACTGAAATGGCAGGAAGTCAGCTTATCTAATAAAGTCCCAAAGACACAGTTGACAGCCATAGGCAAAATAATAAAACTATGCATAATAAACTTTGCTTTCGGGTTGACAAAAGCTCTTCTAGGTGGACACATTTCAAAATAGCTCTAAAAACCAATTGAAAGCACTTACAACTGGACCAAATAAACAAACATGGGCAAATAAACAATGTGTATTTCTGTTTTTGATATGACTTTGGCCAAAGGGTTTATAGTTTATAGAAACAAGTACATTTTATCATAATATGTGACAGCAGTACTTTTATAAGTGTGTGAGTTATTTTGTGTGTGTTTAGCTCTCTTGATAATGTGTAAAGTAAAGCAGGGTGGGCCCTTCAGGCAGGTCACCCTCCATTTAGACCTCATTAGTGCCTCTCTCTGTGGACAAATACATGTAGACCACCCCCATAATCTACAAGAGAAGCATGTCAAACTCTCAGCACAGAAACAGACTCAAATGTAGTCATTTGAAACAGAAACTTTTTTAAACACAGCCAGTAAAACTAGGAATATTTAACACAAAATCAACAAAAAAGCACCATCATTATAATTAATCAAGAGCAAATTATAAAGTGAAGGTCAGGAAGGAAGTGATTTGGGTTATCTGATTAATCCAATTAGCTCCCCTCTGCTTTCTGGAGCTTTATTACTTTATTTACGTCAGCTCAACTGTTTTCTGGTTCGCTCTCACCGCTCTCAAGGATGCAGCAAGCACATGTGTTGAGTGAAAAAGCTCTTAAGATAAACTGTACACGGCACAGCAGATTTACAAACTAGATAGTCCACAAAATGGATAATTTAGCTGTATCTAAATGAAACGAATATTTACCCTCTGGAATTGGTAGAGCACACAAACAGAGCCAAAAAATAAAGAATATTACAAATGATTTGCAAGGAGCAAAACACATTAACCTTTAAAACAAATGATATTGTTGCTGCTTATCTATCAATATATGCAACTGTTTGCTAACAAGTTTATCATATCCTAAAAGGTGATGATACAGTATGTCAATGTTTTGGATGTGTTACCAATTTGTTCCTGTGTCAGTTTTTGCAAGTTTCATACAATGTCCTAAAATGTTACATATATATTACATATCTGTATAGAGTGTACATTGTATGATATTCATCCTTCTTTATGGCATATTCTAACTGAAGCACTACTAACTGTACTATCTGACTACCATATGCCTGTGCTGCTGACTTTCATCACAATATAAAACCAAGTCGGCTCCAATACTGCATTAACAGACATGGATTACCACAAATACAGACCCACAGTCTGCTGTTTCTCCTGACAGACAGGCCGACACGATCACATGCAGACATCAGACTAATGAAAAAGCTGCTCCTGTTACTGACTTGTTTCTCATTGAGAGATCCGATACTGGCATTATTCTGCTGCCTCAGTGTGTGTGGAGAAGGAGCAGGAAGTTATGAAGTCAGAAGAAAAAACCCAAACGAATCAGGGCCCCAATGAAATGTAATCTGGAAAATTAGACTGTTTTTATCCAGTGGGGTTTGAATGTAAAATAACTTAAACCCAAGAGGGAAAAGTTTCCCTTTCCTTCACACATAATTAGGTGTCATTTGGTTTTATTTGACTTTAAGATAGCCTATTTCAACTACTTTTATCTCTTTTCCACTGATGACAGTGTCTCTCCAAACTGGTATGTCTGTGCTAAAGCAATCACACAGGATGTTGAGCTAAATCTGCACCAAAGCACTGCTAGGCTATAATAGTCAGTCTCTGATTAACCTTTTACACAACACTCCAACAACATCATTAGACTCTATATGAGACCCAACATATATTATGTGTTAACAAAGAAGAATCAACACATTAAAACTATTAGTAGTCTTTCCGCTAGCATTCTACAAACCACAGCTAATTCAGTCCCAAGAACAAGGAAATGGAAATATATAACAATTTTAGCCTTTTTTGAGACCTTATGTTACTCAGATTTTCCATTATTTGTTGGTTGGATGCATTTTGCCATGGCTTTTTCACTTGGTGGACATAAGTGTCTGTAACATCTCTCTTAACTTCACTTCTGCATCAGTGAAGTAAGGTGAGAATATAAAAAACATTGAAGGTCAGCCAGTATTGAGTTGACGTATTTAAATGTGTTGCTCTTAAAGGTGCTATGATTAAACAAACTTACTGTCAGTGTTTGGGGATTTTCGTCCATGACTAGGCGAGGAGCAGCGGAAAGTGGTGACGATGGTGTTGTGATGAGGGTTGGGGTGGTGAGGGTGGTGCACTGGTTGGTGGTGGCCGTTGTTTTCTGGAGGAGCCCTGGTGATGCTGATTTCAGGTTTACGGAAATCTCCGGGATTAGGAGGCTCAAACTTGCGAGCGTGATTCTGCTCAGGGGCCCTGCTGATGCCATTGTTGTTATTGTTGCCTTCATTGCGGCGTATCACTGGAGAATCAGTAGGCGTCTTAGCGAAAGTGACCTCCCTCTTCTGGCTCATCTCTGGGGTCTTGGTGTGGCCCAGGACTTCAGGGCGCTTCAGGGCGCTGTTGGTTGCAAAGCGTGTGGAAGAAGGGCTGGTGATGTTATCCACCTGCTTGCTGGAGGAAGAGGAGATGTCGATGGAGAGTTCGGATCGGCGAGACACCGGCTCGGGGGTCTTGGGGCCTCCTCCACCCATGATGGAGCGGGGTTGGGTAAAGTTGAGGTTGTTGTTGTTGGTGGTGGTTGCCGGGGCGGGGGGGGGAGTGCCCAGGTCACGGTAGTAGATGCTGGTGGGAGACATGGCGTTACGGTGAGGGGAGCTGGTGGTTCGACGGGAGCCAGGGGACAAGTGAGAGGAAGTGTCCACATCCTCCACCTCAAAGGACCTCTTCAGAGCTGGATTTGATGGACAAACACAACACACATTAACTTAAAGGGTAATTTGACTGCTGACACTATTAGTTGATTTACTGATGAGTTAAAAGACAATAAGTGTGCATCAACTATGTAAGTAAGCTATTTATCATGCAACTAGTTTTGAAAACAGTAACACCAAATATCCTCTCCTTCTTGATTCTCCGGCAAGTTTCTGCTTCTCTCCATTTTTAATTTTAATTGAATATCTTGGTTTCGTTTTTGAATGATGGACTCATTAATCGAAAAAGTAATAGCCAATACTAATAACTGTGTCTGTTACTAAACATAGCTGTGATTTAATAAAGTACTGCCACATAGGTTAAAGGTTGTTGAATAAAGGTAGTGTAGTAGAAAATGTCAATATTAATGGAGCAACCTTACATTTTTATGCGGACGATACCGTGATGTATTGTAGGTCCCTCCATTAAGGCTGTTGTTACATTACAGGCTGTTTTTAACATTATTCAGACTCAGCTCTCTGAACTAAAGCTTCTTTTAAATGTTGATAAAACCAAGGTAATTCTCTTTTCAAAAGCTAAAAAGACACCAGAGACTGCTTTGGATATTGTAACTACGCAAGGAATACAAATTGAAGTGGTTACCTGTTACAAATACCTGCATATCTGGCTTGATGATTGTCTCACTTTTAACTTCAGGTCAATAACCTGCTTAAAAAGTTGAGGGTTAGGCTAGGTTTCTTTTTCAGAAACAAGTCCTGTTTCTCGCTTGAAGCCAGGAAAAGGCTAGTCACTGTGACCTTTTTAACTGTGCTGGACTATGGTGATTTGTTGTATATGAATGCACCTGCCCATTGCCTGGACAAGTTAGATGCCACCTATCACAGCGCACTGAGATTTGTCACAAATTGTAAAGCACTTACACATCACTGTACCCTGTATGCCAAGGCAGGTTTGCCATCACTTACTGTACGGAGGCTCAGTCACTGGTACACGTTTATTTATAAAGCTTTGTTGGGTAAACTCCCGTATTATATCTGCTCTCTAATAACACAGAGAGTTGCAAGCAGCTATTGTCTGAGATCGCATGATGTAGTATTGTTAGATGTGCCAAGAGCAAGGACTGTCTTAGGTAAGACATCTTTTATGTGCGCAGCTCCACTTGCTTGGAACAGTCTACAGCTAAAATTGAAAATGAGCAATCTCATTCCTCTGCATGTTTTTAAAACTAGTCTAATGAAATGCTCTTTGAAACTATGGGTATTTGTAAATGTCGATAAGTATGTAAATGTAGCCTGTAAATATGTTGTATGATGTCCTTTATGTTTTATGTTGTTTTATGTTTCATGTGGAACCTATTAGCTGCAGGTCTCCCTTGAAAAAGAGATCTATGATCTCAAGGGGTCAATCTGGTTAAATAAAGGTTTGAAATGAAATGAATGACTAAAATCCACCACTGAGTAAAACAGGAGAAATATATTGAAAGCACTATGACTCTGTGAACCAGCTCACCCTTCATCTATACTGTAAATAATGTATGGGTTAAGATTGCTTTTATAGACGTGGGAACAATCTCACAAAAGATTCAACAAAAGGTCATACCAATTAACTGAGCATTACACAATGTGAATTGTTAAAAATAAATTAATCTAAAACACATTATGATCAGTTTCCAAGTAGTAAAGTGGCCTGAGGTTTGAGGGTGGGGTAGCTGTAGAAGCTGTTTTGGGTGGCAACACAAAGGAAACAGCAGGCCACAGCCAGTAAGCCATACTCATCCAATTCCATTGCATTCTGATCACAGGCAGCATGTTTTAACTGTACTGTATTACATGTTTAATTAGATTTTTGTGTCATTAAGTCATGACTTCGAGGCTTTGTGTGCGGTGGGTGCACAACTAAATAAAATGTGAGGGTTGACACGGAGCCATTTGAAGTGCTTCACGACATATTATAATGCACGCATTCAGCCAAGCATAGCTGCCTTCCAAGCATTTAGGCAAAAAGTCCCAAGACTCCCTATTTATGAGCAACATGAGCGCAGAGGCACATCCTTCCCCTTGGTTAGTTGTGACGTGAGAAAATAGCTGTCCAAGACGAAGACACTGCGGGATGGGATCACCCCCTGGGAAGAATGCACTGGCTCAAAGTCAACTTTAATTTGACTCCAATCGTGGAGTTGTTGTGCCAAGCCAATGGCCAGGAGCTGGTATCATAATGACACACTAGTAAGACCAGGCCGCTCACGCACACCCTAAAGAACATCTCCCGTTTCCTGCAATCCAAAACGCAGCGCTGATTATTTGATCTGCTTGTGGCTTGTGGTGTATCTGCGTGTGCACGTGTCTTTATGTAACTATATGTAGTTTTGTTCAAAGTGCTTGTAAAAAAACAAGAAAGTGTGTGTTACAGGAATGTATACGTGTTTATTTTTAAGCGACTACACCCACAGGGAGGGGACGGTGCCCCAGCCCCACAGCGCTCTCTGTAAAGCCTAAACTGTCAGGGGATGCAAGGCTTAACAAAATCACATCAAAGCCGTCTCCACACACATATCAGCCAGCAGCGCTAATCTAATTTACGGCTATAAACTGCGTCATTCCAACATGGTGGACATTTGATACAATTTACCTCTGACAAAAAAAAAAGAAAAAAGTCAGGCCAGAGCCAAAGTATTATTCTGTTTTCGTGTTAGTCGGACACACCAAGGACATTCTTGTTTGCCATGGGAATAAACGGATCTACACTCACGTCTTGGAGTTTAAGGTGATTTGTGTGACAAATCTCCGCCACTATTCCCTGTGCACCCTTTATCTAGCCCTTAACGCTTGAGTATCTTTCATATGTGGCACTATAGGAGACTGTTATTAAGGCTGTAAGGCTAGCTTTATGTGCTTATTTCCTGTGCTGAAGTTCTGATGAGACCAGAGTTAATTAACCAGTAAGGCAACAGCTTTAAAATTCATCATCTGAAAGATTTAACCAGTAAAGAATGATATTCAGCAAAATTGCAATTTATAAGTTAGTCTCCAAACCAATATTGCCAGTGGAGTGTGTCCTTAGTGCAACTTTCTTCACTCTTGTGTTTTATGATTGGTGAGAGGGAGTCCAAGGCTGTGGCTACTTTCAACTCTGGCCAGAGAATAAGCTGATCTGCCAAAAGTGGACCGCAGTTTTCATAAGAAGCTGAATGGTTGTGATGCACCCTTTAAGACTGTATTGTGTAATGAGCGAGTCACCCAAACTAAGCTCTTCTAGGAGCTCCAACACTTTCCGGAGAGCGTGCACAATCTAACAACTCTTGACACTTGCTGTAGACTTTGGTTATATTTTGAAAGGGCTAATGCTACACAAAGGAAAGGGATATCAGGATAAATATTCCCAAGTTTTGTCCAAATAAGAGAGGAGAACTGAGACGTTGTTCAGCCAATGACCTGTTCAGTGATCTTAGATTAGTATTTCTGTTCTAGGGTGCTTTGTGATTATATGCCCACAAGCAGGGGACCAAAGCAGAGGACTTGAGTGCTTTCCTCTCGGGCCGTTTGTTTTTATTTAGAGACTGTGCAGTGAAGTGAACATGATTTAAGAGCAGGGATTAATTTAAATCCCTATGTGCTTTAATGTTGTCTGGGAATATAGAAAATGGCAAAAGGCATTTAGGGCATCTCTCACTCAGATGATCACTCAACTCCAAAGTTTCTAAGGATCCCACAGACTCCTGGGTCTTTTCTTGCTCAACGCAAAAGGGGAAATATATGGTTTTACTTTCATCCAGGATATTCTCTGCATGAATATAGTGAGTATAGGATCGCAAAGCTTTAGGAAGGTAAAGTAAGGAGTGTGGGACTGACAGATGGATGAAGAAGTATTGTTCCCAGTGAAAGAGCATTCCCAGACTATGAGCTGGAAACACGAGGTCGAGTCCACCTCAGAGGAACCTCATTAACAGGAGCCAGGAGTCTCGTCTCCCAGCGTCCCACCACTACCTATCACCGCCCGCCCAGTGTCCGGTATCTCATGCTGTCTCATGTGGGAAGATAATGCAGCACAGACAATATAGTAAAGGATTATTTGGCATAACAAAAACAAAAGATGGTGGCAGCTGTATTCTCACTGCGGTTCATGGTCATTTGTCCTAATACGGCCCAGGTGTTAGGCTGACTGCCTCTCTATCAACTGTGTCATCACCTTTTTCTCAAGGACATCCCAACAAATCAACACAAATATTCAGTATCATCTCAGGCCAGATGCACTAATAGGAGATAGTCAAGAGTTAGAGGGAGTCAAACAAACAAAAAGAGAGGAGGGAGAAGAGCAAAAAGAGACCTGACCTGAGCCAAGAGGTTGCATGGTGAGAAAGTTAGCAGCTCGTGACAAAGTTTTTACTTATTGTTTTCTCTATCACTGATATGAGTTTGTACTGACAGCAGCCAACAAATCTCAGGAGTATAACAGATATTTCAGGTTTGACTCTGAGTATATCGAGTTTTTGAGGGTGGAAAGCATCAATAATGTTAACCGTGGAAAATGAGGCTCAGACAGTGGCGGACTGGCCATTGGGACGTTCGGGACGAATAACTATGGGCCGAAACTGAAGTGGGCCGGTCGGACGATGTGGGCCGGTCGGATAAGTCACTAGAACCCCCCCCCCCCATCGACAATTTACTAGCGGTATTTACTTGCGGTACCGAGGTGGGCTGGTACCGAAGTGGGCCGGTCGAGAGTCCCGGGCGGATTTGTAGTCCCAGTCCGCCCCTGGGCACAGAACATTTTGAAAATGTAAAATTAAAAGCTTATTTATACTACACTATTTGATTGCAATATGTTTAATCCTAATTGATCTTTAGAATGACCAGCATAGTCATATTCTGTTCACTGATTAATTCATTCTGATGTTAAGCTGCTAGTCATTTCTTCCTTCACTTCCTTTGGATGTATCACAATAAAAGCGTCACAGGAAAGTGACGTGCCCCTGAACTGCTGGAAGCTTTAAATGTGAAACAGATGTACAAAGTGTCGACTTTGCATCAACAGCAGCATGTCAGAACATATGATAGTTTATCACTTTAACAAAAACAAAAAAGAGAAAGTCAAAAAGATAAAGGCGTCTCTCAAATTAAATGAATTAACCTCGCTATACTTTGCAGCTGTTAACACAACTAATTCAATTGTTAAGAAAACCTTGTACATTTGTAATAGTTTGAATAAGAACCCTGCACATAAAATACAGTAATGCAGAATAGTAACAACAAACCTTCTGAACCAGTATATTAATTCATAAAATGTCCTGTACTGCACACAGCCTTGAACCACTCATCGGTCTCGTAATTCAAGCCTCAGGCAATAAGTCAAGTGATCAAGACAGTTACTGTGTCAACTTAATCTGTAAAATACGGGTTATATAAAACCAGTTTATGCACTGTGGAGTTTATCTGACATCAGTAGCATGTCCATGTGGTAAAATCAGTAAAACTATTTGACAAGACAAGGCCAAACAACCAACGATACAATTTCACACTACGTTTTTTTGCTTGGTCGGACAAAATCTTAATACTACGCTGTCAAACGCATACTTCCTTTTGCTATCCACTGATGGTGTTGGGTTCACTAATGCTGACCAGCAGCAGTACAGCTCACTGTGTCAGATTTACTGCGTGGTTCTCTAGTGGTCTGGCCGACACCCTGTGTCCGGCACAGAGGAATTCTGTGAGAGTAAGAGGTGTCTTGTAAAGATGGAAGACGTGTGATAGAAGAGGTAATTTAGTGCAGGTCTTGGGTCAAAATCTTCATTTTTCTGCAGTAATGTTAAAGTGCCAGCTGTTTAAAAGGAGGATATGAATCGTAATCAGAACCAAGAGGCAATTTCACCCCTGGCTGAAGATGTGTGCACGCGCACACGCATGCTGACAAAGTCGGTCAGGCAGCTGTTGAATAGCTGGCCCGTTGCTTAGCTTCAGGCCCTCTAAGCCTCAACCTTTGACAGGTAAAGCCTTGCTCTCTTCCTTTGATCAAGCACTGGTTAACTATCCACTTCATGAACAGATTGATTTACATCAGTGACCGGCAAGGAATAAACACAGTGGCTGCATTCCATTTTAACACCTGTGAACTCAGTGTCTCGAGTTCAACACAGTTCTGATAAAAAGTGTGGAGAAAAGATTGTGTGACTGATGCAGAAAGTATTAAACATTTGATTAATCAGAGCTCAGTGACCTCACAGCAGATATTAACAATATTCAGGCCGAGCATATTTGTGTGGAACTGCCTAAACTTACGTCCAAATTATACGTTACGTCACAACATACTTAACTTATAAACATGACCTTAGTAACGTCCCAAACATACCTATTTTAACCCAAACCATGATCCTTTCTTTAACCTTACCAAGTTGTTTGGTTTCCTTAACCTAACCAAGTAGCAATGTAACAAACTTAACTGAAGTACATTAACCCCTTGTTGAAGTGTCTATGCCTGCATGTTGAAAGCTTGCACGGGAACACCCAGTGCGTTACAAAGCGACTACAAGGTACGCAGGTTGGGAGTGACAAAATGCTTTACAAAGCGACTAAAAGGTACGTAGGTTGGGAGTGACAAAATGCAGGAACAGATAGACTAACATAAGATTAAGCAAATCATCTGTAGAAAAACAACTTTCACTTGGCATAGTAATATATAAGCATGGACTCACAGGCTTTTTCTGATTTAATTGACATTTTAGAACAAACAGTTCCGGAGAGACCTGTAAGGAAAGTGTTGTTTTTACCGGTTTTTACACATATTATCCAATCAAACCAACTGTATAACACACACATTGTACCACCCACATGCAAGCTCTCCATTTCAATGTTCATTTCCTCTCTGTATCCACGTGCCACACTGGAGCATCAACATGCCACCTCTGGGCAGATAAACAGTACTAAATACCTTGGATTGGACTCAAAACTCAGTTTAGATTGGCGGACAAAAGACGAGCTAATGTACGACTCTACAAAATCTTTGTGGATATACAAATATGGGTTTATTCTGGGCTTATTTTCTGGTGACTCATACGTTTAGATTCAGCAGAGACATTTTCTATCTTTTAGAAAATCCTAATATTGTTTCAGTACGTAGTTGTTATGGTGATTTCTATCTTCCTTTTTCCATAATAGTCAGAAACACACACAAGGTCATCCAAGTCACATTATTACATCTTTAATGTGCTCAGCAATTACGTCGCCATTCCCTCTCTGTGCCTTTTCCCTCCTCAGTGTGAGGTTCAGTGCAGTGCAAAGTACTGGAAAACATAATGATCTGGGATCAAATAAGGATTTACTCAGTCAAGTGTTTGCCATGAACATCTCTCTATAGCCGTTTCTGTCCTGCATGGAAACACTAGACTGGTTCATGATGACCAGTATAATGTACTGTTGGGGTACATTATGGTGGTCACTATTAGGTAGTGGTTACAGCAGGTGCTTTCTGTCGTACTGAATACTATATTTGGTAATGCATTACTAAAGCTCAACAGTACAGAGATGAACCTGGCATTGACCTAGCTCTCACCTCATTTGGCTTTATTGCCTTTAACGTCTCTTTGAATAAACCAGTAACATGAACTCCATCCACCTGTAATATCCGATTAAGACAAAAATGGTCTGCCAGCATATGGCCCACACCGAGTTATTATTACTGTATTCAATATTATAATCGTGATAAAAAAATGCCATTTTCCAAGTTAAAAATAAACCAGTAAATGTTGTGGTATGCTTGAAACTGTGAAAACTGTGAAAAGTGTTCTGTGACTAAGACTGAAGGCAAAAATGGCTACAGTTGTTCCACACTGCTGGACGATCATAGGGATAGGCGCGGCAATAGTTCAGAGGAGGATAAGACATTTCAAAAGGAAGTTTTTCCTTGTACGATGTGAGGGTCTAAGGATAGAGGGTGTCATATTGTCATACTGATATTCTGTACACACTGTGAAGACCACTGAGACAAATTTAATATTTGTGATATTGGGCTATATAAATAAACATTGATTGATTGATTGATTAATTCAATAGATAATTCACAGTATTAGTAAACAATTAATACTGGAATAGTAAGTCAAGTGTACCATTTCACATAAATTAAATGAAGGTGACATTTTTATAATGACGTTAACAAGGTCAAACCAGACTATATCAGTAACCACATCAACACAGAGTTAATCTTTGTGAACCCACTGTGCAGAATTGACACTAAACCCAATTAAGGAAATACTTCACCTATTAAAACTGCTGTCTGATTATTATTTTTTTTCAGTCTTTATTTCGAACAGATTAAAAAATTAAAAATAACAAATGTGAAAAACAGAATACCGTATTGTTATAATACAGTATTTATCCACATTCATGGTAATATTTGTATATTCAACAAAAAAAAAAGTCTTCATATTAATAATAATAATAATAAATCATATGATTTATGATTATCATAATCAAATGAGAGGGTACAGTCTTAAACAAAACATGCAGACACGAGATGACACACAGTTTTGTAGTATTTAAAAACCAAGACAGATTTTCCAAACTTGAGTCCAATGTCAGAGAATTAAGCCATGCAGATCTATTTATAGAAATTGAAAGCAGATTATTAAATGAATCAATGTCATCAATGTAAAAACAAGTTATTTAAAAAATAGTTGTGCTAACTGAACTGATAGTACACTGCTAGAAATATGTTTTAAAGACTCTGATAATCATGGTACCAATGAGGATTGAAACTGCTCTCAGCATCAGTCCATTACATCACACAGTGAGCATCAGGCCAAAGACCAGCTGGAGGATGCAGTCCGACCGGAGGAGGAACAGGAAATAAGTGGGGAAGGAAGACAGACAGAATGGTAGAGGAAGAGGTGGACAAAGAATTATTTCCAGCTCCACACTATTCTAGCAAACAAAGGAAAGACAATGTTGTGAATGGAGTATGAGGAGGTGAGACAGATGTTAGCTCTTAGTGTTGAGGTTTGCACTGTCTCCGTCTCAGTGCTTTCAGGTGAAGGCTTTCCGGTGTTGGATGTGTGGTGTCAGTGCTGTGTTTGTTTCTATTATTGACATAACTTTGGTATAATCAATAACAGACCATAGGCTACAGGGACTTGGCTGTGCTCACCACCCTTTTTTACACACAGTAACAAGCAGATGCAAACACATGTGCAGTACTATGCAACAAATACACAAATACAAATACACACAAAGATGTTGAATACTATTCATAAGCATCATACTTCTGACAGATGTTGCTGCTTACCACAAACTGTCATCACATTCAAAGTGAAAAGAAAGCAGAAGAGAAATGACAAACCTTCAAAATCTGAAATAATTCCCTCCAAGTGTGGATTGACTCCAGAATCTGACATGTTTTCAAGCATGAAACGTCACACTTTTCCTCCCAACTTTCCAAAATTCCAAATAGAGTCAATGGGATTAAAAAAATCCAAAGCCAGAACTTTCTTAAAAGAGCAACTTATTTTCTCTGACTTCCAACTAACTTCTCTATATCGCTGGATTCAGACTTCAGAGTGCAGCAAGGCAAGCCTCCTCCCTTCTCCTCCCCTCCCTGCAGCTTAAAAACGCACTCCCCCTTCTTACTCATGTCCTGTGTATGTGTGCGTTTCCCCTGCCCCCCACACCAACAAACGTGCACGCGCAGGCATTCACGCAGACAACAAACACCGTCATTCCACATGACCCTTTTTGACCAAAGTGGTTCTCAGGTCTGATTTCCTGATTCAGCCTTGAGCAGCTCTGACAGTGAAAGTGGACAATATGTCACACAGTCAATTTAACAAAGGTAACCTGCAATCAGACAAGATTGTTGTTACAGCTCCATAAGGGAGGCCAGTTTCCCTCTGTCACAGCTAGGGACTACAGTTTTACAGTTTAAGGCTTGAGTTCCGAGTAAACAAGCACTAAAAAGTGTCTGACATGTTGATTAAAGTGCAGCCACTGCAGTAGGAGCTGCTTTCCAGTGACAGAAAACTTAAGAGACTTCCTGGAGAAAGTTGACATCAGGGATATATGACGGCTCAGGGCAATCAGAGGGGGATTCGTGCAGCAACCCGCCCTCTGTGACACTGAATTATCAGGAAGACGATGGGAATTTGAGCTTGGTGGACACAGCTGACCAGGTAATCCAGCACCGCTGCACTTTTTTTGGGGGCCATGCCGACGACAAGCCAGCTTTTGATGTGGTGGGTATGGTTGCACTTCTTGTCCTTGAAGCTGCTGTGGCCAATTTAGAGACTGTTCTTTGGGGGGTGTTGAAAGGTGTTAATAAATGTGATGAAATATCAAAGTCAGCTTTACATGTATTCAACTGCATCCACTAGGGGACTTGTTGGAGTATTTCCTATCAATGAAACTCCCACAGAAACAAAGAGGTGATGTTATCACGGTGATTGCTGATTAGTCATGAGTGAACTGCTATTCACAACTTCCTGTTTGGAGCCAGACGTGTCTGCAACTAAGATTTCTGATACATTTTCTTTGATTTTAGGTCAGTTTTAAAATGTCCACAATAATGGTTAAGGTCACAGCAGTGATTGTAGAAGCTGGACTTTAATTGGCACTCAAAGGAAACCTAAAGCTACAGCAAGGGCCAAAGGAAGCTGGCATTTCCACTTTCACATCAAATATCCACTCGTGAAATCAAATGTTTCACCCTGGGTGAACGCAACACGGTACAGCATCAGTGCCTGGCACTTTTATAGCCTATGAGTATTCAGGAAAATCCCTTTTGAATGAAAAGCCCCATTCTAAGGGGCATTAATAAGATGCCAAGCCCACCCAGTGGCCCCTAACCCTGACACCTGAGAGGTCAATGCTAACACAGAATAACATTGTGTTTATGATGCAGTCTGGTTATTTCATACAACTGCTGCAAAGGTGTTTTAGGATACAGAACAGAGTATGGCACACACAGTGGTGCATACAATTGGCATTTACTCCATCCTTAATCCATCAATCATATAACTTTACTGGGTAGGTTGATTGTCCACTGAGGCGCGTGTTGTCATATGAAGTGCCACTAAGCTTTGGGTCCATGTTGTAAGGGTGCACATTATATGCATCATACATCCTGACAGCTGTGTGGGCATGTAGAGTCAATGTGTTTGTGTGAGCATGCATGTTTATGGATATAGTGCCCTTCAACGAGCATGTGAAAATGCATCTGTATGTGCATGTGCATGTGAATTAGGGTACCATTGTATGCTTACATGGTAGACCTATACACTAGACATTATATATAACTGTACTATATGCAACAAAATGTGTGGCCCCTCAGAGCCTTTGCAGGCCCAAGTGGGCTGCACTGTAAACCATATGCCACAAGCCTCTGTAGTATTCAATTAAACCAAAACACACGGTGTGAGAAACACACACCTCCCCCAGCCCGTGTGTATTTATCTAAACATGGATACACACTCTGGGCAGGCTGCGAGGCAAATCTGAGCGACAGAATCCGGGAACGCTCCAAAACAACATCTGGAGAAGCGTGTGTTTGTGTGCGCTGTGAGTAACATTATGTGAATATGTGCCTATGCATGCATGTGCACATGTGGTTACTTGACTGCGAGTGTGTTTGTGTCTCGGTGCCCCTGAAATAGCACTGTAAACACAGAGGCATTTGCACATAATAGGAGAATAGGAGTTGTGCTTGTTTGTACCTAGTTAATAGCAACAATTATAGGTGTGAGAGTGTTTAATCCCAAGTCATTTTATGTTTTCATTAGCTAGGTCTTGTAATTCATGTTGAATAAATCTTTGTGGCACTCCACCAAGGAGGTTGTTTTCAGTTTGTTTATTGTTTTTGTAATGGTGAAGATGGGCCGACCTTCTTTACACATTTTATGTATGCTTGAGGCATAAAGAGCTTAATCTTTGTTTATTTTGTAACTGCAATGCTATTCATTAATACAACATTTGTTGAGGCCTTGTAAAGAAGGAATAATGTTTGTCAGAATATGTATAGCCACAAATTAGCAGGTTTTGGTATACTGAGAGATTAGCATGTATCTCATATTCTAGACTTTGTTGCTTAGTCAGTTTAACACAAACAGGATTTCAGTACAACCACAAACATTTATTGGCTGGAAGCTGCAAAACCAAAGTCTCTATTTTAGTCTTACTTATGTTTGCCCAAATATGCTCATGTATGTGGTTTTAGTGTTTATCTAAATGACACCTTTTATAGATGATCATCCGTCCTAGAAGAAGGCAAAATTACAATTCAGCGGAATAAACTCACTGAGGGTAGCAGAGCCTAAATAACATGCTATTACTGCAAATGTTGCAATTAAACAAGGTAGTGAAACTGTTGCACAAATCCAAAGACGGTATGAAGGAAAATACAAGCAATATACAATGACATTAATATTGATACTGTGGTTTTAAAACTCGCTGTGGATGTTCATACTGAGCCTAAATATATTTTGTATCAGGGGTCTGTAGAGTCTGTGATATCTTGGTACAAGCAAACGCCTCTATCACATGAACGTCCATCAGCAAAAAAAAATTGTACTTCAAGCTAAAAAGATATACGTCTTTTAAATATGGTGAGTCATATGCATGCATTTAACATCATCTTTATTCATAATGCATCTTACCCTGTCAAAATAGGGCATCTTTTCCAATTGAAATATGTCAATGTGTACCAAAAATGTATTTATCAAAAGTTTAGATAAGATAATAAAACTTCAATTATGGACAGAAATGTATCTTGTGACATGAGAAGCAACACTTTTCGTTTCATTTTGACACTAACTGACTTCCTCTGCACCTTGCTGTTCACAAAAGCATCTGCCTGTAAACAATCGCCTGAATGAGCTTTCACTGAGAATCTGTTTCTGTTTCATCACCCCTGTCTTGACCATATGTTTCCATCACGTTGAATAATTTCACCTGTCAGAAGTCCTCCATGAGGCAGACTGAAGGTGGGGCTTCCCACTCAGTTTCCTGAACTCCCTGTTCTGTGTTTTATTGTTCTCCCTCACTTATCATTACTAAATACTAATCTGAGAAACAATATGAGGTGAGATAGAGGGAGGAGGACTGCGGGGCGTTCACTCATCGAGGATATCCTGTACACTTATTTTATGGAACATGGTGAGCTGGGTGATTTCCTTGAGTTCCTTTAACTCCAGGTTCATGTGTGTTTGGTGCTAGAAGTGGGTGGGGATCTGTGCATGTGCGTTTCAGGGTGAGGGCATTCAGGGTTCTGGGGGGATTATTCAGCCTTTTTAAAACCACAAATTCACAAGCAAAGTGAGGGAAAGACATTAAAGTGCCATTGAAATAAAAGACGATTTAAAAGGAACATTGACCATAACGCGCTTCCCTTTAGGAGTATAGCTTATTTAATTAAATGTATTCTGGCCAGAAAGATCAAGAGGAAGAAAAGAGCTGGTCTTTAATTCATTATCAGGACAGATGTAAAAACAAAAATGGTAGAGGTCTGAGTCTTGAACACTATGTTGAAAAATGTGTTTAATCATATTATTTCTCTAAGGAAGTGTATCTAAGACGGTGGTCTTCCTTGTAATCTTCAACTCAAACTACTGAATCTCTGCTTTCATTGTTGTCAGTTTGATGCTAAACAGGCCAAACAAATATTGCAATTAGTGTCATCTCAACAGACAAGAGAAATACTTTTTTCCTGTTAACTGGCAGAACATAAAGCAACACAACAAAACATTTTCCTTTTCCAGACCTAATTCTGTTTTTATTTTTATTTTCCCGGCAGTGAAACACCAACTAGCAATTGTCAAATGTGGTGACCGTATACATGACAGTCCTGGCAGATGACATGTCATACTGAGCGTATTAATTTAATCCTAAACAGGCTTGGAAAAGAAAAGCAAAAGGGTCAAGATGGAGTCATTGCAGATGCACCAAGAGGTTGAAAATGCCGTACATGCAGAACAGTCTAAGCTCATATTGTTATCTTGAATAAAATGTACATTTGTCAGGTGTTGGTGGGGGAGGGGTCAAGGGCTGCTGTCAAGGCAACACGTCCATATAGAACAACACAACACAGGTTGCAAACCAGGAAGTAGCTCAGCCCTTGCAGGACTTCCTCAACTGAGAGGAGTGAGGAGGGTGCCTGACATAATGCTCCACCACCTCTCCACCAAACTTCCCGCCCCCAAGGGAGTCAGTCTATTACTAAATTCCTCCGTCTCCCATAAAAACAATCCCTCCATCTGCAAAATATGAATCATCCACATCCAACTTCAGAGAGAAATGGTGGCTGCACTGAGGAGGACAAAATGACACAGCAACACTGCCACCAAGTGGTAATAAAAATGGTTGCGCGTTGTGTCTGTATGCATCACACGGCTCACCGAACTCAGCCACCTTATTAACGGTCGAATTAAAGGCTAATTTGCAGAGTGTCGCTCAGCTTGATGTCCAGCCTTAATCACTGAAAGATGCCAGATTA